TTGTGTGTGTCCTCCCAGTGGTTGTGTCGCCTGCTGTGTCGCAGTGGGTGGCCCTCCCTGTGGCCCTCAGGAGGGTGTCTCCAGGCTGCTCTGGGCCTGAGCCTGCCGGCAGGGCCCTGGGTGGGGTGGAGGGGGCCGGGAGGACGGCGCCCGCACCTCGGTGCCCCGTGGCCAAGTGCCCTGGGTGCCCTGGGTGCCCTGGGTGCCCTGGGCGCCCTGGACGCCCTGGAAGGGCGTGAGGAGGGGCCTGTGCACGAGGCGGGGCAGACCTGCCGTCCAGGCCGGGACGCGTGCTGTGGGCAGCGAGGGTCGCAGAGCTGCTCCGGTGAGGCCTGCAGGAGGAGAGCATGAAACGGTCACTGTCACTGGACCTGAGCCGCGTGTCGCGTGGCCTTAGGACATCTCTCATGGAACGTCCAGCACTGTGTCCACCCTGTGGCTCCCTCCTCGTGTTCCGAACCCTCTTCCCGGGAGGGGGCCCTCTGGGATGAATGAAGTGAACGGAGAGGTTCCCATCGGAAGGCTGCTGACCACAAGTCCAGGGCCTCATCGTGTCCAGGGCCCTGGCCCTCTCCTCTCCCATGTTGTCATGGACAGTGGCGTCTGGGCCTGGGGAGGAGTGGGACAGGCGCCGGGTCCTCAGTGCCCTCCCTGGCCGCAGCGCTCTGTCCCCTGCAGGGCCGGCAGGGCGCTGTGCCACGCAGGGCCTCCTGGGGCTGAGGACTGCACACTGCACCAGCCCTCACCTCGGTGGGCGCTCTCCCGTCCGCTGCCCACAGCCGCCCTCTGCAGAGCCCAGAGCTGGGGGGGTGGACGTGCCTTGGTCAGTGGGGGTCAGTCCTCTTCATGTCCTGCTTGGCCCTGGGTCACTGCAGGAGGCGGGAGCACTGCCCTCCCTACTGTGCACTGCCATCCCTACTGTGCACTGCCATCCCTACTGTGCACTGCGATCCCTACTGTGCACTGCCATCCCTACTGTGCACTGCGTGGTCTGACTGTGCCCCAGACCTGGTGCATGTGAAGGCACAGCGTGGGGTAGGAGGCGGGGCCTGAGGGGAGGGCCAGGTCCTGAGGTGGGATCTGGGCCGGCTTCACAGGGGGCACCATAGCTCTGGCCCTCCTCTCCGCTGCCCAGGGAGCACGCAGCCTTCTGCCCCCGGGTGGGGAGCACGTGAGTGGGGCGCCAGGCCAGGGGGCGCCAGGCCAGGGGGCGCCAGGGAGCCTCTCTGGGGCCTGAGAGCCAGTCCTTGGACTTGAGGCTGTGGACAGCTTCAGAACGGGAAGAAGTGGGTCTGTGCTCTTCATACCCCCCCCCTCAGGTGTGTTGTTACAGCAGCACGCACACCCTGAGACCTGGCTGGGCCCTGAGACTCCCTGGGGGCGCTGGGAGCGCTGGGCTGGCTCTTCAGGGGCTGGTGTCCCCCAGGGAAGGCTCAGCCCGCACTGTGAGGCCCGCCCTGCTTGTGGCCTCCCTCCCTCTGCACAGTGCCCCAGGAGAGCAGGCCAGCCAGCACGGAAGCCCAGCTGCAGCCTGCTCCTACCCCAGGGCCTTCTGTCTGACCTGCTGGGCGGG